TATATATATATATATATATATATATATATATATATATAGATAGATAGATAGATAGATAGATAGATATGCAGGCCACAGTGAGATCAGAGAGGATTATCAAGGCCCAGTGTCAGAGTACTCTGTCTTAGTTTCAGCTCACAGCTCTTCCAACAGTATAATGAGCCAAAATGTGCATCTAAAAGCACCACGGACAGATGAGGAGAAAATACTGGAGAGTTCTGAAGTGGATGCTCTGAGTCCTGATCTTAATCCAACTGAACATCGATGGAAAGAACTGAGACACAACTAGGAAAAGATGCCCATCAGACCTGAGACAACAGGAGCAATTTACTAAAGAGGAGTGGGCCAGACTGCCAAATGAGAAGTGTACCAGTCTCACTGAGAGCTACATACAGCACCTGATTGTGGTGATTGTACTACAAAATATTAGGTTTAGGCTCCCAATACGTGTCTGTTTGTATTTGTTGTATTATTGGGAATAATACTATATTTTTCAGGTATTGCACATTTACACTGAACATTGATGGAGGCGTACCAACACTTGAGCCACGTCTGTGTATACATTTCAGGATTCCTTCATATATATAAAGTAATAAGGATTTAATGTATTCTGATTGGATTTTATCTGTCCCCTCCCCCGGCCAGATTGCCATTGACTTCACAGGTTCCAACGGAGATCCCACCTCTCCTCTGTCCCTTCACTACATCAACCCTCAAGGCTACAATGAATACCTGGCAGCTATCTGGGCAGTGGGTAATGTCATCCAGGACTATGACAGGTAAATACAGCAGAAGTATCATGGTTGATCAAAAATTCAGCATAAATCATAGCGGTGTGTTTTCCTTTCAGAAATTCAGTCGTACCAATTTAAAGTATTTAATCTAGAAAAGTGTTCATCAACAAACACCAACAGTGAATGCTCTTCTTTCAGATTACATTAGATTTAACCATTGCATAAAGTACAATTATCATCTAACCAGAAGTGGAAAACAGTTTAAAAAAAAAAAAAAAGTACATCGTTATAACTATATAATAAATGTTATGGGTTAGGGTGGAAATCATCTTCTGTCATCATCTTTATCTTTTATCTGCTTGAAGTACTTTATGGTGACGGTACAGTAAGCTCAGTTTAAGCTTGCACAGCAGATTTTTTTTCTTCTCATGTCTGAATAAGCAGCCTGGTTACTTTTACATAAAAAAATGAACTGGGCCTTCTTCAGGATACAAACCTTATACAGGTCAGAGAAGTTGTTTAGGGTTGTTCCTGTAATTTCACTGTACACTTTTACAATACTCCTGTAGTCCATTGCTGTTCTTGCGAGTAAGTGACCTTATTAACAGATCTAAGCAAACGTAAGAACTGATTCAGCAAAACAAGAATAAAACACTCACATAAAAGCACTGTCAGCTTCAAAACCTTTAAGATTTTGGAAGAGATACATGCATTGCTCAGCCTTCTGACAAACAACATATGAAGCTGAATGCAGCTGAAGGCTGAGGGGGAAAAAAATCAATAAAAACCAAATGTGCAAAAGTATTTGCCCCATCTCAGTGTGTCAGAATCAAAGTTAACAAGGTACCAAATAGTGTCACCAGTGCCCCATCTTAGCCAATATGCAAACTGAAGTGGGTCTAAATACACCTGCACTTTACATAAAACTGTGCCCTTCACAGTCTTCTTAAATGATTTCATAATGAGAGAGGTGAAGGCCACAGGTCTAAAATCATTTAGTTGTTTAATGTGTAAACTTACCTGGAATGTAACGCCTACTTTGCTTCACCTCCTTCTGCAGTGACAAGATGTTCCCTGCTTTTGGTTTTGGAGCCCAGATCCCTCCTACATGGCAGGTTGGTTTCACTTAAGGGATTATCTCTGCATGATAACTGAACTCTATATAACCTTAAGGCAATGTCTTGGTTTGTTGTTACTTGGATGATCTCAGATAAGTTGGCATGGATCAGAATTAATAATTGTTTGTGTTTGCAGGTTTCCCACGAGTTCCCCATCAACTTCAACCCATCAAATCCTTTTTGTGCAGGTACTAGTCTGAAGCTAATGTGTAGGCACATGTACTCATGCTTGTATCATTTATTCTTTAACAGAAAATTTGGCATGGGATGTTCAAAGCATACATGTAACGTCTGCAACAACAACTGGAAAAATAATAATTGTGAATAATCATCAGCATAAAATCTGCTGACAACAATTGATAAACTTTTTGGTTTAAAGTCATTTATTAAGCAAAGGTATATTTGCAGCAGGTTTTTGTTTTATGTTTTTCTTAGAATAAATAATTAATAATAGAAAAAAGTACATTTGGGTCATATGTTTGTTTCAACATCTCACAAGAAATTTTAAATTGGTTTGCGGTTTATCCTTGTTCCATAAATTGATCATGTTTTGGTGTACTGTCAATTGTGTAAAATCAACATGCAAGTATAAAATGATCCTCAACATATGTGTATGTTACTGTGTATGTATTTGTTTTTGTAGGTATAGAGGGTGTGGCATATGCCTACCAGCAGTGTCTACCTCAGGTGAAGCTTTACGGCCCCACAAACTTTTCCCCAATCATTAACCACGTAGCCCAGTTCGGAAGACGAGCCATGCAGCAGCAAAGTGCTTCTGTGAGTTGCTGAAAGTCCAAAACACAATTAAAACTATAGGACTGTAGCTGTTGTTGTTGTTGTGGAAGTATTAGTTACTGTAGTTTTGGTTTGACCAATTCCTCTGTACCATGATGAAAACAACTTCCACTCTGTTTTGTGACAGTTGTATGTATTTGTACAGCACCTCTCATACAGGTTTATGCTTCATGTGCTGTTTTCCCAGGAATACTTTGTTCTGCTCATCATCACTGACGGAGTGATCACAGACATGGATCAGACCCGCAACGCCATCGTCAGCGCCTCTCGTCTGCCCATGTCTATCATCATAGTTGGGGTAGGGGGAGCGGACTTCAGTGCCATGGAATTCCTGGATAGCGACAATGGAATTTTACGCTCTGCTACGGGCGAGGCAGCCATGCGGGACATCGTTCAGTTTGTGCCATTCAGGCAGTTCCAGAATGTAAGCTAAATTGTAAAGCAAAGTCCACGTAGGCCTGTGCCTTGCAGGCTTCTTTAAAATCCTTAAATAATGCATTCCTTTGCATGTTTGCACATCTTATTTCAGGCAGGCACTGCAGCCCTAGCCCAAAGCGTACTGGCAGAGTTGCCTGACCAAGTGGCCTCCTTCTTCAATTCATTTGGCCTGAAGCCCCCCAGTGATCTCAGTCCTTCCTAATAATGTAGGAGTCGCCCTGACCCAGTTTTTCTCTTTCATCCCTGCATTTAATCCACAGTTACAAATAGAATGATCCCGCTATGACACTATGCCATCATTCTATAGGCGTCTTTAAGTGTGTCTGTCAGTGTGTGAACATGAATACACTGACTCGGGAATGCTTGTTGGGTTTTGTTCTGGTTGCCTGGCACATTATGTCCCATGAAACTACAATTTGTTTTGTGTGTGCCACACTTTTTGTGTAATATTGCCAGTAGCTGGATTTGTGACCTTTGGACAGAGCCAGGCTAGCTGTTTCCCCATGTCCAGTCTCTGGGGTAGGCTAAACCAACTGTTGTAGACATACAATATATTTAGTGCTCAGATATCAGAGTGGTATTGATCTTCTGATGTCACTCTCCACTATTTACAAAAGTGTCATACTATTGGTTTAATTCATACCAATACTGTACTACTTAAAGTACATGTTCTGGAAATACAAGTATGTTTACATTGTATTTTACAGGACATTTGACAGTTCTGGTATCTTTTTAAATGATATATAGAGTTAAAATTAAAGGCATATTTGACGGCATTTTCTCTTCTTTGCTTCTGTTGCTTGGTTGCTACTGTTTCCTAGTCAGTTCCTTCCAAATCTTCTTCACATGTACAAGACCTCATCTTGTTCCTCTGTCTTTGTCTCCTCCATCTCTTTAGTGTCCTCAAGAAATGCTTGCTCAGAGTGTCTTGGCTGAAGTTCCAGGCCAGGTGTTGAGCTTCTTTAATACCATGAGTTTGAGGCCACTCCACAGTGACACACCTCTCCCTGACCCTGCGCCATCAGCACCCCCCCAGTGATATATCACGAGGATCAGCTTTGCTTGACGGTGTACCCTGGCATCTCCAAATGTCCATTCATATCTTATCTGGATTAATGGAGGCGAGTTTCCTTTTATTCTGAAATTGAATATTTGCAGTTCCTTTTGAAGGTGTATTATTAATCCACTGCCATATAGTACATAGCATGCAGCATGCTGTCATGTTGCACTTATTAAAAACTATGTACCAATAGTACAGTAAAAAGCCATAGTAGGATGCATATGGTCACATTTCTTAAATACTTAAGGTGCTGGTTATGACTTTGACTTCAATGCTAGAATTGATAAGATTTTATAATTTCTTAATTTACTCTTTTGTTTATGGAATTAATTGAAACAGGTGCGATTTGACTCAAGTTCTTTTGTGGAACAGTTAAGGCAGCTAATTACAGCCATCTCATTTGTCTGTCAGAAACTACATGAAAGGGGTCCAGTACTTATTGTGTTCTTCATGTTTCTGCTAAAATTTCATCTTGTATCTCTAAATTACAGTGAACACTTGTTTGATGAAGCGTAAATCTCCACTGAAATCGTGGATCATAGTCAAACCTATGGTTTTAACAAATACAATTCAGGAACACTTCAGCAGCGTTTACATTTGAGACTTTACTGGATAAATAAATTTTGTAGAGCAAATCAGACAAATGTATATTACACAATATATATACTCTTGCTATTTTGTACTTTTGTCAGTTTCTTTTTTGAAATGTGATTTCACATTTGACGTGCCTGCACATGACTGTCGCACAAGAATCCTTAGGAGTGAGTAACTATCATCACTGGAGATGTTTTCATCTGTGTACAATACAAGTTTACTATGTCTTAAGTAGTAGTAAAACTTCTACTTTACTGACTGTTATGAAAATGACTCCACTAATTTCACTGTGTGCATTTATCACCATAACATTTCTTTATGCAATATATTCGCCTTTGTCACACAGCATAATTTTATGTTTTGTGTCAGTTATGTGCAGTGTGTGAAAATAACTACAAAATAGTCGGCTTTTGCTTGAAAAATCTTTGTCAAATTAATTTATTACTAGAAATATCTTTTTTTATCTTGGTGCCATTGCCTTTGTCATAACACATAACAAGAAATATTTTCATAAAGTAGTGTCTGAATTCCAGCCAGTTTTTGCGCATTAATGAAATGTATACTCGTATCATTAAAGCTGGACTCAGTAAGTACATTACAATGAAATATTACAAGTGTTTTTTTGTTTTTTTTATTCCACCTGCCAAAATGAATTTCTTTCATTAATTTAGAGTTACTATAGTCACAGTACAGTTGTACCTTGGTTTTATAACAATTATTGTGATAAATAGCCAATAATATCTTTTTTTTTTATTTATTTATTCAGAGATTGAATCCTCACTGACATTATCTTCTAAGACTGGTTAAACCTCATTTTTTTTAACATATTTCACTCGGGCTGTAACTCATTTTAGTTTGGAATTGTCAGTACTAAAATATATTGGAAGGATGTATCTGCTTTTACTTAATTCTACAATAAATACTATTTTTACTCTAAAATAAGGAAAATGTCTTGTTTGGTTTATTTGATCACAGCAATCCTATTATGCTTAGGACCAAATCTGATATATTAATTTTGGCTGTACCCATAAGTGGAAATACTCAACAAATTGCTTTTCTTTTTAATTTAATCCTTTTATTTAAAATAAAGCCGCATCTGTGTTATTTTATTTAATGTTGCACTTTTGTTGGTAAAAGCCCTGGCTCTACTTTGTTGTGCTGTTTGTATGACTGTAATTTTACTGGTTTTGTAAACAGCTATGCAGAGACTGTTACTGCCCTCCATCGGTCACAGGGTGTAACTGCAGCCGGATAATCAGCGTAGTGACACTTCCTTTCAAAATAAAGTGGCCACGCTGAATTACTAACACGGTTGTGAGGTTTTTCATTAATTTACAGTATTTTTGCAATAGACATGTTTCAGGATAGGCAAGAGGTGTAAAATCGCACCGTAATTATTTGAAACGGGTGTTATAACGAACGTAAGAACAGTTGATCTCGGTGAGCCTTGAACTGCATGTTGAAGGCAGGCCACAGGAAGCTGTGGAGGAGATCTTACTGCAACATTTTTTACTTTTGAAACGGTGTTAACACTGGACGAAGTTGTAGTTTTGAGGCTAACTCCATTACCTTACTAAGGCAGTATTTCCTTCCCGCGAATCCTGTAACGCGTTGTAAAGGTAAGATTGGATAAGCCAGCTGGCGTTAACATTAGCTAGCCCTATTAGTCTGAAAGCGTTAGCCGTCGTACTCTCCTACTCTATGCTAGCTAGCTTGTTAATGCGCCCCACCCGAAAAAACGTCATCATAATGATTAATGTACTATATTTTCCATGATAGTTACCGTTTTACCAAGCTACTTCAAACTGAGGCGCGTTTATTGTATGCACTTGTGTGAAGCTAAATGTGTTATGTTACCTAGTTAACTGCCACATAGGTTTCATTTGACGTTTAGCGCACTTTACATTTAACACAGATGATGTGACACTGCAGGTATCTAAGCTAGTTCACCTTAGTTAAAGTCGGTGAAAAGAATATCGTGAAAACAAGGTTTAAAAACTCTTACAATACTCGATTATTTCAGTATAGTTTACCATTGGTCGTTTATAAACATCTGTACTAGCAGAAATAATCTATACCTGCACATATAGCTACAGTATATCGCAAGACATGAATCCGTTTTCCTTTCCCGGTGTTCCGACAGAGATGGGCAAGAAAGCCTTTTGCTTTCTATTCCAACCACTTGGAATAATTGGCAAAACAAAAATCTAATTAACAAATTCGGTATCAGTGGCAAAGTTCGGGCGGATTTTAAACAATTTTTAAGCAATACCTTTTTTCTTGTTAATCGTTAAAAATGTTACTCCTATTAGTTTATTGGTGACGTTTGTTGAAAGTTTTTTTTTCTGTGCGACATTTAACACAGCTGTCTTGCCGTGATAAAGTTTCTAATCCTCAGTGAGATTTCCTCTGGTCAAGTAAAGGCTAAATAAATAAAAAATAAAACCTAAGTCCACCTTAAAGAACTAACTAATCTTTGCCTACCATCTGCACAAGTTACACCATTGTCAGTTTTTAAGTCAACTTTATTTCACTCTTGTGCATGAACAAGCCTAAAGTAATGCATTTTAAACTTGTTTTGTGCACACAGTAATGTCTCTGTTGTCTCTCCAGCTCCATAACAGTCAGGCATGGCTGCCCAGTGTGTAACCAAGGTGGAGCTGACGGTGTCTTGTGAGAACCTCCTGGACAAAGACGTTGGCTCCAAGTCCGACCCTCTGTGTGTCCTGTTAATGGATAGCTCTAAGTCCCAGTGGTACGAGGTCAGTAGGCAATACTGCAGGATTTGACTGACAGTTGTAAAGTGGTCTGTGTGTTACTGTCACCAAGCAACTGTTCATCATCATAAAAATTAGTGGCCAAACTAGTTTCACAAACCTCCTGCATGCACCTGTTCCATTCACTTACATACACAGTCGCTCATTCCTAGGAGTGGCAGTTATGTCACTGTTGCAATTGCAAGAAAAAAATCTTAGAGCCAGATGTGTGTTGTGTAAAGCAGCATTTCTGTTTTCCTTTTTCATCAGTGCATAAGCAGTACTGTTCTTTTACTTCTGAATCACTCACAAAGCTGTCCGGTCTTTCCTAACAGGTGGCACGCACAGAGAAGGTCCAGAATTGCCTTAATCCAAAGTTTGCCAAAAAGTTAGTTGTTGACTACTACTTTGAAATAGTGCAGAAACTGAAGTTTGGGATTTATGACATTGACAACAAGACTATTGACCTGAGTGACGATGATTTCCTGGGGGAACTGGAGTGCACCTTGGGCCAGGTAAAGGGTTTCTTTTTCTTCTGGAAGAACACAGCTCAGTGTTCAGAATACCTGTTTGTGTGAGGTCATCCTTTAGTTGCTAATGCTTATAAAAAACTAATTGACCTCTGAGATTGTTTATGTGACAGTTGAAAGAAGCATCACTCTAACACTGCTGGGCAATCAATGGACTGAGTGTTTCTGTAGTTGCAGCAAGTCCAACAGAGTGAGATGTCTAGTAAAATCATCAGCTGATCTCACATCAGTTTCAGGAGTCCTAATCTCCCAGGTCACATTTAATTTATATACTGTCAATAAATTAGGCAGATCAACTTTTAAGAAGAAGCTATATTTATTTTCATTATAATTTATGTACCCTTTATGAAATGAATAACTTGTTCTATCACTAACTTTGTTATGCTACTGTCTTACGGTATTTCTAAGGAGCCTCCATAGTACTGTGCGCTACATATTTTCTCTGTTTTAGGGCAGAAAAAATGTCACTTTTTTGGCCCTTCACCCATTTACACCTCTGCAGATAGGTGTCACGGTGGTAGCACACACTATAATGAGATAAGATGTCACTGTTTCACTCTGTCAGAGATGAAACATGAACATCCCTGATAAACACTTGCTGTGCACACTATCAGTGTAATTTGAGCTCAGATGTTCATGCTGCATGATTTTCAGTGTTATGTGCCTCGTGGCTAGGAGGCTGCCCTGTTGTAGTCATTCATTCAGCTTTTGCTGCTACTGCACTTTGAACTGCCTCTGTGTATGAGAATGAAATATACAGTATAAATAAACTTGCCTTGCCTGCTTCCTTAAAAACCCGCTTATCTTTGCTGCTTTTAGGTTGTGTCTAGTAGAAAACTGACCCGACCTCTTATCTTGAAGAACAAATCACCAGCTGGCAAAGGGACAATCACAGTGAGTGGCAGAGAGGAAATTTCTGATGTTTGGCTGTTTTATTTTACTTCACGTATTTACTGGTCCTCTCTTCTGTCTGTAGATCACTGCAGAAGAAATAAAAGATAACCGGGTGGTGAATTTTGAAGTGGAAGCAAGAAAACTAGATAACAAGGTGCGTGTTGTTGTTTTTTTTGTTTGTTTTTTTTTTTGTGAAATTTACAATGCTGTTATTGTTTTTTGACACTGAGGTGCATTTTATTTATTGGTTTCATTCCTTTATCCATTTACAGGATTTGTTTGGAAAGTCTGACCCTTACCTGGAGTTCTACAGGCAGACAGAAACTGGATGGCAGCTGGCTCACAGGACAGAGGTAATTACGCTGAAATAACTGCGCTATTGGCTGTACTGTAGCTGTAGAAAGAAAGCTCAAATCGTTTACACAAGTAACTATTACTATTACTATTCTAACCTTTCATTCTCTTCCTGTCATAAATAAATGGTCTCTTTTCCCAGAAGAGGGGGTAATACCACAACTGGGAACTGAACAGAGATTTTCTTTTGGATGTTTACATGTTACCCGACACTTTCTTTTTTGGTTTAACTATCTGTGATAAAGAGAAACAAATAATGGCTGTAGGTGTGATGCGCCACAGCCTTTGCATGTGTGTTAGGTGTGTCATGGAGATAAATTTTGCATTAATTGACATTTAAAATAGACAATATAAAGAATTTACAAATTAGTGTACTGTGTGAATCCTCAACAAATAGGTCAAGTCAAAAGCCAGCTTCCAGTGAAGACAAGTGGAAAGCCCAGTGTCACATTAATATTAAAAGAAAAAGGGAAAACAGTGGGAAAATGGCAAGGCAAATCGAAAAGGGAGTTGTCCCTTCAAATGCCTGAAGAATAACAATAATAATAACCTGAATGAAAATCATAGGATTCCAACACTGTTGGTGCTTGGGCCCCTAATCAGGTGCCAGAATATACGCTGTGATGGAGTATTCTGTGTTTATATCTTCTTTCCTTAGGTGGTGAAGAACAACTTGAATCCAACATGGAGACCCTTTAGAATTTCCCTGCAGTCTCTCTGTGGAGGAGAAATGGAGAAACCGATAAAAGTACTCTTTTCATCACTTTTTTTATCATTGATTATTTGCACAGCTGAAACTTTGACTTGCCCCCAGTGATTGCATTGATGTTTTTAGTTTCAGTGGCACTTTATTCTCATGCTTAGTGAAGTTCTGTTGGGTCACCCGCTCTGACATCTCAAAACATATGAACTGAGTATGTAGTACTGGCGTGATGATGTATATTTTTTTAACCTCCGAAGCGAACATGTCAGGGAGGAAGCCGTTTCCAACCATACAGGACAAGTGAGTTACCCAGAGTGTCATGGTGTTTGTCTTTGTTCATCTTATCATCACTTTCACGGGTGACGTGTGAATGGAGTAATGGGGAAAATCCAAGACACCTCCTCAGCAGGGTCTCCAGCCTTCATCCAACTTGATCCTATCATAGAACATTTGTTTGAACTTCTTCTTTAAGTCATTTTACTGCTCGTGTTTGTCTAGTACAATAAGATGTTTTGAGTCTTAGGTTTGCATGATGATTTCTTGCTGTTCTACACCATCAACTTAAAAGGGTCAGTTTATCCAAATTCCAACCTATTCTCACGTACTTCTGGTTGTATCTGTCTTGCCAGATGGTGTTGGCTTTATTTGTCCAGGTTTTGAGGTATCTGAAGCTCACATATTATACACCCATTGATCCACTCCAATATAGTGGGTGGGAAAAATGATATTTAAAAACATGCAACAGCAGCATTTGTTTAATGTGTCCTGGTTACTCTGGATAATTTGTAGACCTTACCGCGAACAGTTTTTATAGCCTCTGTTTCTTAGTTAGAAGATAGTTAAAATGAAAACTCTTCGCAGCAAGGTCTGTGGATAACTTTGTGTATATTGGATGAACTGATCCCATAAGGAGTATTGTATTTTTCTCTGTGTGAATGATTTATCAGGTTTCTGCCTTGCTAGAGCAACCACATCACTGTGTGTTTTACTTATTTGCAGGTTGAATGCTACGACTATGACAACGATGGCTCCCATGATCTTATTGGGATCTTTGAGACCACAATGACACGCCTCCAACAAGCATCGAAGAGTTCCCCGGTATGTTGGTGTAGGGGTGTGTTTACAGGGTTTGTCCGTAACAGCCAGAATTTCAGATATTTCACAGATTCGGTCAGATTGAGATTGCTCTTGTTACATTTATTTTGTGCTGTTTTTAATTAAATTAGTGGAGGAAACAACCCTGAAATGCTATTTAAATGAGTTAAAGTACAAACCCCGAAACAGGGTCTATTAAATGAAACGTAAATGAAATTATATTGACTAAGTATAGATACCATAGGATTATCAGCCTTGTGGTGTTCAGGCTCTGACGCAGACATCCTATGCTGTTTTTGTTTTCTCTTCAGGCAGAGTTTGAATGCATCAACAGTAAAAAGAAACAGAAGAAGAAAGGCTACAAGAACTCTGGTATTGTGAGCGTGAAACTGTGCCAGGTATAGTAGTACTGTGCCTTATTTTCATCGTTAATGATGTACACTTGTGTAATAAGGCTATAAATTATAATTACATTTAGGGATTTAAAGCGGTGTGTCTAGTACAGTGTATTTGTACACGTTCTCTGGTAGTCTTCTACATAACAGTTTTATTTTTTAGGTTGTGAAGGAGTATACGTTCCTGGATTACATCATGGGAGGCTGCCAAATTAGTTTCACTGTAAGTTTTGGCTTCTTCATTAACACCGCTTGTTGTTGATTTGTATTCTTGGGTTATTAAAAAGTCTAACAAGATGTGCATCTCTTTTGTGTGTTCGTTCCCTGCCTACTCCCTGGATGTTGTGGCAGGTGGCTGTTGACTTCACAGGCTCCAATGGGGATCCACGGTCTCCTCAGTCTCTGCACTACATAAGCCCTCAGGGTGTTAATGAGTACCTGTCTGCTATCTGGTCTGTGGGCAATGTCATCCAGGACTATGATAGGTATGTACACATCACATATATAGTAAGTATGATTAGTTTTACAAATTAGTGCCAGCTTTCAAAGTTCTGAAGAAATACCCCAAGACCAAAAGTCTGTGTCCAGTTTTACTGGTGAAGGTTGTCACTTGCTGGCAGTATGGTTTGCATTCGTATTTTATACTTGTTGTTTGTCTTTCCTGTGTAGTGACAAAATGTTTCCTGCTTTTGGCTTTGGAGCCCAGATCCCTCCCACATGGCAGGTACAGCTTGCATTTAAATATGGGGCCAAGAGTACATACAAAAGACTGATGTTTACATACAGTTGGAATCAGGGTCAATACTCCTAGGTTGGTTTTGCACAGGAAATGACATCTGATGGTTCTGTGTTACAGGTATCTCACGAGTTTCCTCTCAATTTCACCCCTGCAAATCCATTCTGTGCAGGTGTGTTCACAAATCATTGCACTACAGGGTCATTTAGTTAAGTTTTCAACACCTGGGGCTGAAAAATGTAACAAGCTAATTTTATTAGTAGTACTGTTATCATCATTATTATTGGTAATTGTTTATTTATTTACTTCCCCTCCTTTTCCCTTTCTTGCACTTCATATACTGCATAAGTTGGAAATACCCACACTTCACACACTACAATCTTGTAAAACACTTTATATCCTTTTGTAATGTCATGAATCTGTTGTCTTTTCTACCATGTTCAGTACTGTTTTGTTAATGTGTTATTTTGTTTCAATTAAAAAAAAAAGTTTTCATACAGCTTGAAATAGGTACTTTCTGCTATACATGTGGAGCGTATTATGCTGTAGTGAGTTTACAGTGTGGATACAAGTCTGATCTTGACTGTGTGTGTGTGTGTGTGTGTGTGTGTGTGTAGGTGTTGAAGGTGTGGTGCAGGCCTATAGGACGTGCCTGCCCCAGGTCAAACTCTACGGTCCCACCAACTTCTCCCCGATCATCAACCACGTGGCCCGCTTCGCTAAGGAAGCCCTCCAGCAGACCACAGCATCAGTGAGTACTCATCTGTTCAGCCATTTCCAGAAATATATAGAAATGTAAGCCAGGCCCACTGCCCTGTAGGAATACTTGCTCTCTATATTTAGCAAATCGAGTAGTTCTCCAACCACTGGGGAATTACAAAGGAAGACAGTTTACACTCCTTCCAGTTCACCAGTATTTTGGGTAGTAGAGAGACGTGTAAAAAGGCAGTTGACAATCTGTGAACATTTGCTTAAGAGAAATGGGAAAATCAGCACGACATTCCCACCACAGAGCTTTGTAGTTTCACAGTGGGGATATAGGCAGCATATAAATTTCATGACAGCCATGCTCCGCATCTGTCTGTGATGCCTTGTATATTTGTCAGTTACACGGCCACAGTGGCCGGTGTGCCCTCATCAGATGTGACAGAGTTCTTAGCTCCATCACATCAGATCTGAGGAGCGATTTCCGTAAACGATCGTTCGTGTTCAGTCTTTCATGTAGGTGTGTGTGTTTATGGATGTATTAAATAGAATGGTGCTTCATAAAACTGTTCACCAGGGAGTGCTCCTCATAAAACCTCCATGGTTCATGTGACTTGGCAGAATATGCTGTAGAATTTAATGTTATCCTCTCTTTAACACCGCTTGGTAACAAATATTTTTAAGATCTGTTTGTTGGTGAACTCCTGTGCCTTTTGTTTGCTAGATCTATGCACTATTTTTAGCTCAGTGTGTATTAATCAAGCTAGTGGTCCTACACTAAGGTTACCTTTAGTTCGACTTGGTAAGCAGATTGAAGGATGTAATATTTGGCTCTGTCTATAAGCTGTAAGTAAACTGACAGTCTGTAAAACGTTACATGTAGTGCTGAAATGTACTGAGCGAAATAAGCACTAACATAGTCACTACTAATATTTATATCTAATTGTTGGCACTAATGTCAGTAACAAGCCATTTAATGTGCAGTGTATGTAAAAGCAGAAGTTAACACTAAAGTGAGAGAGTTTGTTTACAGGTAAAGTGTATAGTAATTTTTTCATAACAACCAAGTGAAAACCTTAATAGGCAGCCATTATACTTTTATTTTTAGTTTTCACAGTGCTAGAAGTGTTGTTGGACATGTTATGATGCCAGAAGAATGTAATTATTACACCAGTTAGTAATTAAGAGAAATTAGACATCCTTTTCTCCATTTTCTCCTTTAAACATCCATGATTCTTCTAACCTGTGATCCTAGGCAACATCAGCAGAAGGAAACGAGCTTATTTGCCTTTGAGTCTAAACGTGCACAGATAACACCATTTACTATCCAAATTATAATGAAGATGCACAATTACTATACTATACTATCGCTACACATTCCCTTTTAGCCATCCTACAACATGTGTACTTTAATTTAAACATAGTATGTTGTGGCACCAAACCCTAGTATGTAACATTACTGCTTAGGGAGTACATACATAGCTCATACTGTATGCGTGAGCTATGTACACATACATATCATGTCATTTGTCTCGGCCTTAGTGCCCAGTCAAGTAGCCTTTGTGCCCTCTGAAAATGTATGAAATTAAAGGCCAAATAGCCTTGCCCTTCAAATAATGAAATTTATGGCCTAGTCCGTCAATAATACACAATTAAATGTGCCAAAGAATGGGAGAGCATTCACAAGTTAGCTCAGTTAAATGATGTTTACCCATTATTTGGCACCAGAGAGGGGACTGTCGGGTCATACTGTCATAAATCTTCAGAGCCCTACAATAAATAAGCAGCACCATTTTCCAGCCCTAACCCTAACCTACCCTTAAGGCAAAGCATTCCTCGCCAAAGCAAAGAGCGGATATGTGGCTTGACACACAGCATCTGCATTGTATTTGCTCAGGTCCTCCTGTGCTAGTTTACTTCATCTAGACATGAATAGGCATAATCCCCACATATGTTGCTATTTATAAATCACTTGCCTCTTGCCCTATTCACATTCACTGGACCTTGCTGCGCAATCAGCTAGATTCTAATTGCTTGTCTTAAGCAGCACCCTGGACACGCAAGCTTCAAAGTATGGGTGTCACATGTAACCACTACTATTCTATAAGAGTCAAGTATTTAGACTGCTGGTGGAATGTGATACCTCATATTCAAGGTGTCATAATGTTGTAAATGATCATTCATAAAAGGGAAGAGGAACACTAACATACACTGGGACTCTTGTAATGTAGATGGCATCACTCAATACACTAATTTCACACTGCAAGTTTGATGACTCCTTCAAAATGCTTGTCACCTTGTATATATCTCCGGTACTTATGTAATTGTCTTTCTTCTACCTGTGTGGTTGCCATCCATCTGAAGCAATACTTTGTTCTGCTCATCATCACTGACGGAGTGATCACAGACATGGATCAGACCCGCAACGCCATCGTCAGCGCCTCTCGTCTGCCCATGTCTATCATCATAGTTGGGGTAGGGGGAGCGGACTTCACTGCCATGGAGTTCCTGGATGGCGACGATGGACGACTGCGTTCTCTGACTGGCGAGGCAGCCATGCGGGACATTGTCCAATTTGTCCCATTCAGGCAGTTCCAAAATGTAAGAAACATTTTGTTACCTTCTTTTGTAACTCATTTCTACATGTAGAATACATACAGATAGAAACACAAGTGCTGTCTGATTCTTCTCAACAATCCAACACACTGCCTGCAAACTTTTTCTAAGCATTTCACTGCTTCATTTTCACTTGAACTGGCTTCAAAATCAAAAATATAAACATAGTATTATCCTCACCCAGTGCCAGTAGGGATTCCCGGCCCCTTGACCCAGCGTCTCCCTTGTGTATTTGTCTTTTCAGGCGCCCAGCCAGGCTCTTGCCCAGAGCGTATTGGCAGAGTTACCTCAGCAAGTGGCCAACTTCTTCCATTTATTCAAACTGAAGCCTCCCAGCGAGCCCAGTCCTTCATAGGGGTACCCTAGATTGTACAGCTATAAACCCCCATCCCAGTCGTTGTTTGGCCTATATGTATACTGTCCTTTTCTATTTTTAGTTTGTTGTTGTAGTTAGTTTGTCATCCTTCCAACTTTTGATACTCTTGTTTTTATTAAAGGGAAAGCTCCGCTCCAGATGAGATCATTAACACAGCAGCCATAATTTAGGATTATATTATAGTTTAGTATCTTACAAATTCTAGTTGCTGTGTAGTGAAATATCAACAATGAGAAGAAGTTTGCAGCACAACTACCATGTATTTTTAACATTAGCTTTACGTCACATACTGGTGTGAGTCACCAAATTAAAGGCCCTCTTATTAGCCTCATCACACATTCAAAATATTCTTTGTATGGCTGAGTGTTGCACATCACCATACTCATCCATCGGTCAACAATGATCTGACTGCTTGAACTGTGTACTCATTTCTGAGCTAAATCAGTTTGAAGCTAGACAAAGAGGAAATGAGGACTTTTAATAATAGCGATAACTGATGTAGTTGTATGACTGTCACGTCACTACATCACGCACAAGCAACTCCTCTGGAGGTTGCCAGAAAGGGTGAGACAAAGTTGAATTTTGACAAAATAATTCCTTGAATGAGGGCAGAATTTTCCTTTAAACATATTTCATATGCATGGCCTTCTGCTTTTCATTCATGCTTGCTTATTCTAATTAATTCAACAGTAATGACATTCACATAAATCATTTATAAAGGTATCTTTTTTTTCTTTGCTTTTTTTTCCTCAACTCCTCAGGCCCCCCCAGAAGCTCTGGCTAAAAGTGTGTTGGCAGAAGTTCCAGGTCAACTGGTGGAGTTTTTCAATGTCATGAAGTTAAGTCCACCCAAACCTGCACCAAACCCTGCACCAAACCCTGCAGGGACCATCTGATACTCCCAGGAACAGACCAGACACAAACCTCATCTCATTACACATGCACATTAAAGACATCACACATGGGTCCTACATACAGTGACCACATTGACCAGTCTAATTTTTTGTTGTCCAAATTGTCATATGTTAACATCCATTTTAGCTGTTCCTCAGTGTTTCTGCAACTAAAACAAGTCATTCCTTCAGTGTACAGTTAAAATTGATGGGCAAAGAATTTGCTTTTTAAATAGATTAAATAATAAAAGTAACCAGCACAAGGATTTAAGCTGGTTTCTGTAGTAATTCCCCCCCCCCCACACCCCCCCCCGTCCTATTTTATATTCTCAGACAAATAGCCACTACTCCTCCCTCGTAGCATAATTTTGTACATATGTATGCAAAGTAGCTTTCGGTGCTGTTCTGGGCAGATGGAGTACTTATTTCATAAATGTCTGTTGTTGTACATGTTTCCCTATGCACTTAAGAAATTTTACTACAAAGATCTTGTATGTAATCATTTATTTAGTGAGATGCCAAACTGTTGGTTTTAAACCCAGAGCTGTTTATACCACAGATTGTATTGCATTATGCCACTGTAGGAAGTTACATAGTTATGTAATGTACTGTGGTCTACCCTTGTTCCAATTACTTCACATATAGATTAGCAAAGACACTATGGAGTAGTGTATTGCCATTGTGATTTGCCAATAGGATTTATATGGTTATACAATATATATATCATTTATCCCCTTGTTTATCAGCTGCTGAAAATAACGCGCCTTACTGTTAACATTCAAAAGGTGGATCAAGCTTGCAAATAAAGTACCTCTTAATCAGTACCAATTGTATCTGATATGCATCTCACACCTTTAAAGCATTTCATCCATTACCTATACCACTTACTCTAATGACCTGCACTCAAGCACTTGTTCCATATTCTGACAGATATTAGATGTCTTCTTTTCACAATGTAAATCCAGTGTGCAACTTATAAGAATTGATTACTTCATGTTTTTTCTAAATACTGACAGAATCAGCCTACCAGCCCTACATGAATCAGCTTTTATGTGTAGATGAATGCACCTCAGAGCTACAGACCTACCATAAGCTACATCACTAAACCATTCCCTGCTTCCTGTTTTAGTGGAGAAATGCTGCACTTACTTCTTCTTTGACAAAAGTGGCCAGTAATGCTTAGTTTTCATCAGCTGGCTTATATGTCAGACAACTACTGCACCAGCCAAACTTTTTAAAGTCTCGGAGGTGCAACCTGATCCTGGTTGTGGTTACATGTGGTGGATGTTGTTGTGGTCCATGAACTGTTTGAGGTTCTGCAGATTGTCCCACCACTTGAAGAGGAAGGTCTCTGCGATGAGGCTGAACCAGGGTGTGATCTTCAGTTCCTTACGCTTGGCCTTCCCCAACATCTCCTTCAGCTGCTCCTTGCTCACATAACAGTGACTTTTGATCTCATTGGGGTCTGGACTCAGCTCCACATCCTTCAGAGTGACACAAAAAAGACTGAATAATCTGAACTCATTCAGATAAAGACATGATGTGTGCACACAGATAAAGTCAATCAATATGTGTATGACATGAACAACCATTAATGTTTATTTATATAGCACAAAAATCAAAGAGCCTCCATCAACCAGCTAAATTCAAGGGAATGGGACAGATGTGATGACCTTGACCAGCAAAATCTGATTAGTTCATCTTAAGTCTCAGTGGACTTTGTGCCAAATATGAAGAAATTCCCTCAAGGTGTTCCTGAGATACTGTGCTCACAAAAATGGGACAGACAACCTGAAAACAACACCTCCAGCCACTGATTCAGTGTCGTTTCTACCATTTTCTACATTATAGATTAAAAATGAGGACATCAAAGTAATGAAATAATGGGACTATGTAGTATGCAAAAAGAACATGTTGAAAACAGTAGAGATGACAGTGAACTTTAGGAAGAGTGGCACTACAAGTCACTGTACGTCAAGACAACCAGACACAAGGACAGTTTCTTCCAGGCGACTGCCTGCCATACTTCATTTACTTTTTTGCATACTACACAATACCACGTTGTTTCATAACAACAATGTCTTCAGTATTCATTAATCGACAATGCAGAAATTAAGAGTAACAGACAAACCGTTTCATTTTCACTGGGACTGTATGTCATTTCTGGTCATTTGGACAAGGGATGGAGTGAAAGTTCTCCTTTTCTTGATCAACAGACCAGATGCTTTCACTCACATGGTTAAAAGCTCACATTACACACACTGCTGTGGACTACCTTCTGCATGAAGAGGATGTAGTCGATCTCATGTTCTCCCCAAATGCCATCTGACTGGGCCTTGTAGTGGATTCTGGTTAGATATGTCATTTCTTCTGGTGTCACCTGAAGAGCAACAGGAAAGCAAACAGGATCAAACACATAGAAAGATTTATAATTCCATTCTACACCCGCACTGTACCTGTTCCACAGGGATTCCCAGTTCAGCTTGGAGTCTCCTCTGAGCAGCTCTCCTCACTCCTAACGCATCTTTCTCCTCCAGCTCACTGTCTGTGTGCAAAGGATGACTGCAGCATGTGTTTGTGAAACAGCCTGCGCGCACACACACACAAAGGAGATGGTTACACACAATTCTTTCTAATACTGGGACCAGATAATGTGTCACACAGAGGTTTAATGGTTTGCTGCTGACCTGGAAAAGTGATTTTGGCATCAGACCTCTGTTGCAAGAGCAGCTTCTCTTCACTGTTAAAAATGAAGACACTGAAAGCTCTGTGTAATAAACCTGGCAACACAAAGAAACAATTTATCATAAAGTCAAATCTGAATTGGTAGAAATTACACACTACAGGTGTAAGTGCATTTCAGCATGGTTGACAGATACCTTTGTCAATGTTGGAGTTAAGGTGGCAGTTTTTCTTAGTATCAGCTCCGACCTTGCAATCGTTCTCATCAATGAGGATGCACATTTCAGACAGCAGCTGCACCTGCTTCTCATCCAGGTGATCCATGGTGACCTCAGGCATTGTGACCACAGAACAGAGGTGTCTCACTTTGCTGCTGCGCACAAGGAGGAACAGCCAGCAGATACAGTAAATAGTTTGACTTTTTAGACCTGAAAATGAGCTGTGCACTTTTTAAAAACGACACTTTGAACACAGTAGGCAAAATGAGTTTTTATGTTCATAAATGAAGGACATACAATAACTAACAAATTCTTTTAAACTACTGCTGCTAATCAGTTATTTGACAGTTTTGTGGCTAGTATCGAATCGCCTCCTGCTTTGAGTTGGTGTAATGAAACTGTGTACCAAAGCCACATCAAGTGCAATACATTTTTAAATAGAATTTGGTATGAATCGCATATGCAGACCAGTGCTGGGGGTAATGTGTTACTTTGATAACGTTTTACAGGATGCTAGACACTTAAAGTAAAAGCCGCATAAGCCTGCTCACTGAGTCGACGGCGATACTTTATGCACAGTATTGAGTTATTGATGACTTTAGACAAGCATGTGGCCCAGCACTGCTCCAGGCCATAGACCAACACGTTACAGTAAGCCGAGCTCAGCTATCACTAGCACAAACACAGTCACAGCTTAGCGGCAGGAGGCTGCTCTATGGCTTCGCCAACTTTGAAGCGCTTCAGCAAACACATACTATCGTAGTTTACCTGGCTATAGCTCTGCAGCTGTTACTCGTCCGGACAGGTCTGCTCCACAGTGAAGCTGCTCTAACCCTGCCAGGTGCGTTTGATTTCCATACAGCTACTCCCTCGCAGGACACCATCCGCAGCGCCTCCCACAGACACCGCGCCATCTCGTGACCAAAACAGAAAACCAATCACAAGGACTGAAGGTGTGGGTGCGTCTAAAACCCGGAGAGGAACTACAGCAGCAGCCAGGATCATAAGATAAGCTGGATAACTTTGAACTGGAGTCTACTCTATTTAAAGAGTGTAACCTATATGTGGTCTGTGTAGCTAATATGCTACCATTACCTCACTGTCAGGGTGCTGTGAGCAAAGTGTGTTTGTGGAAGCAAAATGTGAAAAAAAAAATCCATGTCTTGCAAATGGCAGGACTCAGTTTGTCCAAATGACCCATTCTTATAAACACAATATCTCAGGAACACCTTGAGGGAATTTTATTTCAAGCTTGGCACAGGTGTCCACTTGGACTCAGTGATGAACTAAATAGAGTTTGGTGGTCAAAGGTCAAGGTCACTGTGACCTGGCATTTGTTCCATTCTTGTGAATGCAGTATGTCAGGAGCTCCTTGAAAATGTTTCTTCAAATTTGGCACATGCTTGCATCTGGACTCAGAGATGAACTGATTTTATTTTGGTGGCCAAAGGTTAAGGTCAGTGACCTCACTTCTGTCCCATACCTGTGAATTTGACTGGTTGGCAGAGGCATACAGCCGCGAAGCAGTAATCTAGCATTTCATTAAATTTGAAGATGGAGATTATGGAACAAATTATGAGATCATACATGCTGCTTAAACAATGTGACACATATTTTCAAGCTAATTATGTTTTTATGTAAAAAAAACAACCCACAGGTGTCAAAGAAACACAGTGGAGTGCAAGTGTAAAGCTGCATAAGTTAGAAATACTTTTGTAGTGTAAGTACCTCTAAACTGTACTTATGTAGACTAGTTGAGTAATATTACCACTATGACCCGTCTCATGGTCTTAATCAACAACAGTAGGAAATGGCAGGAATCTTTTTTTTACAGTCCAGTCCGGGTTTTCATCTAAACACTAGCTCTCGACACGCCATCAGAAGGCACAGTCCGCACCACCCAGGCATCTGACAATTGGGCAATGAGTATGCACTCTCAGCTGTATAGACAACTTACGGAGAAACTGATAAAATATTCGGTTACTCACAACAATATCCTCCTCTCAGGCAAATAAACCACGATTTAGAACGTATCTTGCATTTGTTTTAGACGATATTTCAGAGCGGAATACCCATGACTGTATACTACGGTCAAAGTAGTTGGTTTTCACTCCCTGTTTCTGACGTCACGATTTTTCATTGGATGCCTTAGCGGGGCGCAACACCCATTGGCTTAAAAGTGGAAACAAAGCCATGTGATACGGAAGTGGGTGTACGAATCCAACTGTCAAACAGTTCTATTAACATTGTAATACTTCCGAAAGTACTCCTGCTGTTACCGTTTACTGTCATTGTCACACGTCGACAACAAGTTAACAGCAAACTAAGAGGTTTTTATCATTTCTTATTGAACTAGGAAGACAATCAATCTGCTGCTCATTGTAAATGTTAGGTGCTACCGTGAATGTGATATGTGGTAGCTAGCACTTGTTAGCGTACAGTCTGTTTCATTTTTAGACTTCCATGCTAGCCGAATATGATTTCAGAGACGCTATGACATTGGTGAGTGTCAGGTTATGGATCACAAACCGTAAAACCAACGTCGACTAATAATTTTAAGCGTAATTTATCCTGTTAATGTACTAAGCGTGTTACTGGGTTGATGTTAATTATGTTCTACATATGTCGTTCTTCCACTTTTAGCCTTTCGCCTGTAATTAACTAGCGGCAGCTACATTTGGTATGCATTTTCCAGCAGCTTATAATGTTAACTATGACGCTTCACCAGCTATAATCTCAGTCCTATATGTGTGGTCCTTGTAGCAGGTAACTACCGACCATGACGCCGCACTTCGGTTACAGTAAATACCGTGAGTTTAAAGTCGTAATGGTTTTTGGCAGATGCTGGTGGATGATAATAGTCCACTTTAGGTATGTCAGCCCTCACCAGTAATCACTAATAAATTGATGAATTGACCAGAAAACGCTAATTTATTCACAGATTGCCTGTTTGAAGTGAATTGGCTTGAATTAAGTGCTTGGTGAATCATTGCACTAGGTACATGTCTGTCTTTTTAAAAAATAAATGTCTTAAGCCACAAGTACACTGTATGGTTTTAGTAATGAGCAAAGCAGAAATAAGTTACTGTAATGTTGAATGGAATTTGAATTATGCTGTTTCAGGGGGAATCAGAGAGCAGGTGAGGTTACCTTTCACCTTGAGCAATTCTTGCAGTGGCTAAGATCCTGAACCTAGCTTACTTTTACCTGCAGGCAGGTGGTGATAATTGACCAACCTAACCAACGCACCAGTCAAACAGCAAGAAGCAGGTAAACTGCTTCTTAGAAAGGAGGTGAGCAGGGGGGAGGGCCACCCAGCAGATAGGAGGCATGCCTGTGGAAGGTGGAAGCATCAGCGGCTCTGCTTCAGCTGCCCGTCACCCCAAGCACAAGCACAAGGCTCACAGTTTATCTAGCCGGCACACCAACAGCACAGAGGAAAGGCTACCAGGGTTCCAAAGAGGAGACATGCTGGAGGGACAGGTGAGGGAGATACACAGACGTATGTTCTCTCTTTCTCTCACACACACACACAGACAAATATTTGTGGTAAACTTAGTCATGTAATATTGGTTGCTGGCATGACCTACATAGTTACTTGGTTCTCTGCTCAAAAACATGACCAGAAGGTTCTTTTGTTTCTAATTGTCATGTTGTGGTGTGAGCCCGTTTTGTCTTTCTTGTCAGTCATGAGAGAGCAGTACCAGCTGGTTTAACAGCATTGCTTTTATTTTCTACCTGGAGTCGCGGTATTCACATACAATTTAGAATGGGTTTTTGTGACCGTTCAGAAAATCTTGGTGTTGTCTTGGGTAGATACAGGACAGGATCTTTAGTCAAAGTGTCATGATGTTTAGAAACTGCTTGGTGTGGATGTGCTTGTTGGTTACTGATTTCTGTTTGTTCAAGCAAAGGAATCTATGGGACTTTTGTTTTTAGCCAGCTGGTGCCATCAAGTTAGTTATTAACAGCCTCCAAAAAGGTTATTTAAATTTTAGCTACAATTGATTTAGTTATTCAGAAAGGGAAGACTGCAAGCTTTTTGACAAGCATGCATTTTCTGATGCAAACCGGTTGTAGTGGACTGTCGATCCTCATTGCTCGCTCAGATAATAAAAGCTGTTTTTGTTTGGTCAAGCACATCATGGCTGTTAACTTTTGGGAGCTGGCTTTAGAGTGACCTTACTGAGAGTCGTCTCTCAGATAAGCTGTACAGAGGGTTTGTGAGTGAATGTCAGAGGTTTTAGATTGTATCATGGCTTTCTGTCGCTGGAGATAGAACTGGTCAACTAAAAAAACAAAACAGTTTGATTATCTGAAAAATGTCTGGTTTTTGTGATCCAGATTTTGGTTCAAAGTATTAAATAATTTCTGTCAGTATTCAGGAGCCCTAGGTTTGACCATCAACATTTACTTTCTCTAACTGACAGTGTCCTTGGCTTGTCACCCACTACTGTTTGAGCTCAGCTTGCTCTGGTCTGTAGTCTCATCAAGGTTTAATACTGGTTGTTCAGGCTTGATTAGTCTTTTCACCAGGCCTTTTTGTGTATTGCCAGAACACACTGGCTCTATTTATGTACCCAGTCTGCCCCCCATGGCTCAAGTTCCACGTTCACAGATAGTTTTATAAACCCATAAATGACACACACAATGCATTTTCTATCACAGTTTTAGTTCTGTCATTATTAGCCACAGTACACTGCAGGTTTTAAGGTCACAACTAAGCGGCTTTGAATTTATTACAGCTGCCTGTTGTTTGCTAATTGACTGTTTTTTTTTTCTCACAAAGTGTGTTGACATGTGGCACTGATAGAACAGTCGGCGGTTAACGTCACTGTGACAAACTGTTGATTTTAAAGATGTGCCAGAAGGAAGCCAAGTATTTGGTTTCCTCGTCTTTCAGTAAGCTGTAGAAATAAGCAGCAGCTAAAGAGGCACGCTGTCAAATGCAGCCTTTTGAGCCCATTGTTCTCATGGCAGCCTTTATGTGTCATTGTACAGTAGTCTGGTGTAGACTGGTGTTCAACTAGTAACTGGAGTTCAACATGGAGGTACAGTAAGTCATTTAAAATGTTGAGTTGGACTGGTTGGACCATGGATGGTGTCTCATTGGTTGAGTGTTACGTAGTTCTCTAGTCAAAAATGTAGCAGAGTAGTCGCAGAAGTGTAGTTGGTGGCTGACTAAACCAAGTGAACTTGCGTGGTGTTTTTGATAAGGGATTTATGTGGGTTGCTTCTGTGTTATTTAAGCTGTGTGTTTTTTATGAGTCACCTAGACTTCTCTTTGAATAGTGATATAATATTCTAGAAACCTATTGGAAAATTGTATTTGTTCATGTCAACAATAGCATTTTAATGTTTGAGCCTATTATTTTGTGAAAGCATTTGAAATCTGTGTTTAAAAGATAAGGCCGGTCATTTTCTGTATTGACAATATTTTCCAAGACTCCCTACACAGAGACTGAAACCGACTGAATGACTTAAGCAGCTGTTAAGGTCTGTCAGTCCTGAATCAACTTATTCAACTGTGTCTAATTTTCCTCCAGCAATGTGATAGTGAACCTTTAGGCCTGTATGATAGATCACTGTGAGGTTTGACAGTGTTTTGTTTTTCATTTTGTTTGTTTTTGTCTGTCCAGGACTCCAGACTGCCCCTGCCTGTACGGAACAATCTTCTTGACCTTTTTGGGCAGATTGAGCGCGAGTTTGAAAATTTATACATAGAAAACCTTGAATGTGAGTGACTGGTAGGGAAAAGTAAAGCAATTAGTTAACTGTATTGATCTTGAGGAGCTGAATGACTAAGCAGTGTTTGTTTATCGATGCCTATCACAATATTACAGTGCGCCGTGAAATCGACTCACTAAATGAACGTCTGACTGCAGATGGGCAGAGTACTGAGGGAGGCGACCTCATCAAAGGAGCCCTGAAAACAAAAGGTACAGGTTATAAGTCTGATTGGAATGCAGTTATAGTACAATTATAGCTAAATTTTTAACACTAATCATTTTACTACATTTTTTTATTTATGATTTTCATCATTCATTAAAATTCCAAACTTGTGGTTAATCATTTTATGAGACTGATTTTATGGAGTCATCTCAGTGGCAGCTGCATTTTGTTACTATCTAAAGTAAGGCTTAGCAGTTATACCTGCATGTCCTTGCAGAATTGTTCCAAGTTCACTCAGGTTTCATGGTGAGCAGTAAAAAATAACTGCTCTCTTCAAGTCCATCCATGGATATTCAATCAGATTTAGATGGCTTTAGCTTAGCTTTCAGGCATTTTTGCCTTTGTTTGTCAGTGGGTTCCAGGGAGCTGGACAGGAAACGAAACAGAGATAGAAAAAGGGAAACCTGCAACAAATGGCTTTAATAGGTTTGTGTAGGTTTTCAAATAGCTAGAAGCACAACAAGGCTTTGTAATGTTCACGTGTGTACCGTTTATAACATCTAGACACTTTTATTCAGCCATCACTGCAGCAGTGAGACCAACCAGTTTTTCACTGGGTCAGTTTCACCCACTGTCCTTTGTCTCTCCATCATGCAGCCAGCCACAGCACCAGCCACAGCACCAGCCAGCTGTCACAGAAGCTGAAGACGACCTACAAAGCCTCCACCAGCAAGGTACCTGGCTCCAGTTATGTTAACCTAATCGACAGACTCGGCGAGATTTGTAAATGTTTGAGCTGCTGGGATTCAGGCCTGCTGTCATGGTAACGGATCAGTAGCTCCTTTGTTGCTGAGTGTGAGTTGAGCTGTGATCAAAAAATGTTACTGTTAAAGGATAAGTTTGGTGATTTTCTAAATCCCATACAGAGATTAAATCCAACAGTGAATTTGGCATTCTCATCGTAAAGTGAATTCAGAACTTGGTTAAGCTTATTCGACTATGCCATAAACTTCCTCTGTTGTTTGAAAGCTGTTGGCTCACTGTGTGGGTTTGATTTGCTGCACTGGATGACATGTTTCTTCTTCACAATTTAGGTTTGTTATGTCTTATTTCAAAAAAAGAGCTCTGAAGGCTAAGAACAGTCATCAATGGCTGGCCATCCATTATAACAGACAAATAAACTAAACAAGGTTCTGGAGTCACAAGCATTATGGGGAGTACATGGAATTCATTGTTGGCTTTAGTGTCTGTAAGGGATTTGTGGAAAATAATAGAAAATCACCGGCATTATCCTTTAAACTTTTTGGTTTTTGAAATAATGATGGATCGATATAGAGATCTTTGAATATACAGGGGTCAGGAAGACTGTGATCTTTAGCATTTACCAAAAAAATAACATCTCCCTTGACTTCTTCCTTTTTAATCTCTTGCCGACATAGTGCTTGTATACTTTCCATGGCAAAATAGGTGGACCTCGCAAGTTCAGTGAGTACATGGGACATTCATGGGTAACTTCCTGAATGCTCTGTTTGTCTGTAAACATCATGGAGGAACAAATGTAGACTCCTTTTTTGTTTTTTGATTTAACTCCAGTCTGACCTTGACTCCTCATGTCTTTTCTGCTCTGCATCCTGTCATGAGCCATTTGGGTGAATAGCTGCATTTGTTTAATCTAGAAAACAATTTTTTACAGTTTGTTTTTGAACATGTCATATCTTAGTTGTCAGTTTGCCCCTGTGTCCTAATGTATATTGTATGTTTAATGTTTAAACAAGACACATTAATGTTATTTCTTTAAAAAAACAAAACAAAACATGGCTTTGACATTGTTTTCCGCAGTCTCTTATTTTCCACTTGACTTAAACATTTCCCTCAACAATTAGCTTTGTTAAAGCAGCAATCTGACTGTAGCCAAAGTCTGTGCTAAATGTGAAAGGGGACACAGTCCTCTTCTAATCTGAAAATAAGAAAAGAGGATATACAAGATCAAGGAAGAACTACTTAGGTTAACCGCTGGACAGAAGAAGCTGCCATATAATATACAGCTGACCTCTCAGCTGGCTGAGAAACATGACTAAAAACTAATTTTGCTTATACTGATGGAACTTGAAACTTATGATCTACACTAACTGTATTGCCAGTTTACTACTGGGATGACCTTGCTTTCACTGAACTAGTCTATTTTTCTTGCTGCTCATTGTGTTGTAATGATCGATAACGGTCAGATTGTACTGTATAGCAACTTAAAAACAATGGACAGAATGAGAGTATATGCTAACACAGTCTTACACGTGTGAACCGGATGCTTCATTGCTGTATTTAATGACTACCAGTGACTGAAGCTTATTGCTGTGGTTAGCCTTCTGCTTGCAGAAGCATGTACACTACAGGTTGTGACCTCTTAGTGACAGGCGAAACATCAGTTAGTTTCTTCATGTGGAAGCCTGCATTAACTCAAAGCCGTGCGTAAACAGACCAGTAGAGCATCTTATTTTCAGAGGTGCACCACATGGTATAGTTGCACTTGAACAGTATGGGTCCGTCCACCTGTACTTGATTGTGCTGTCTTGATAATAATACACACAGTGTGGTGCAGTTTGAAACCACAAACTTTCTGGCAGTTGTAGAGACATCCTCTGGTGTAAAAAGAGCACTTGTTTACAAGATACACACACACACACAGTTTGCAGGCTACCATTCTAGAGGCCTGTATCACAAAGTATGTTCAGCTTCTTTCTCTGGGTTTCCTGGCTTCTATGAGCTTACCATTTAAGTGATATACAGTGAGATAAAACAGAATATACTAAGCAAGCTGCATAAACATTAGAAATAATTTATATGTTAAATGTGATGCAAGGGTTCTGTGGAAAGTGTTACCGGTAGGTATTGTATAGTATCTTCACCATTGTAACAAGTTTGCATGTTCTCCCTGTGCCTCCGTGGGTTCTCTCCGTGTTCTCTGGCTTCCTCCCACAGCCCAAAGACATGCAGCTTAGGTTGACCAGTGACTCTAAAGTGCCCATAGGAGTGAGTGAGTGAGTGAGTGTGTGTGTGTGGGTGTTTGTCTACATGTCAGCCCTGTGATAGACTGGCGACCTGTCCAGGATGTACCCCGCCTCTCGTCCAATGTCAGCTGGGATTGGCTTGAGCCCCCCCCCCACGGCCCTATTCGGAAATGGGTATAGATAATGGATGGATGGATAGACCTTTGTAACATATTCAATAGTCTAGAATGAATATGGACAGAACATTTATCAGAATGTTACAGTGAAATATATGTGAATTATCCTTTTTGTATTTCTTGTCTCATTTTGAACCAATTGTTTCAAATCATTGATGCATAAAAATCATTTTAAAAGCAAAGAAACATGCATTCTACTGCCAGAGCAGAAAGTGACATATACAGCTGGTCTGTGCTGCAATGGTTGAGAAGAAATGAGTGTGTGATAATGTCAAATAGTTTCATTTATATTTTAATCAAACAGTGTGTTACAATTACTATTCAGCTGAACCTGTAACTACAATTTAGTCTGTAGTCTGAATCCCTATCTCTGTTTGTGGACAAATAAGTGTACAAAAAAATTTATTTTTTTCTCCACAATTATTTTGAGCAGCAACATTTTTCTGTTAATATAAAATTAAAATAAAGTTGTGTTTTTTTTTAAAGTTTTTTATTTAATTTTTTTTAAACTTTTTTTTTCAAATAGCTTTTCATTTTATTTTGAATTCCTGTTAGGAATGATGGTTTTAATCCGGTCTTCTGAACCTGCTTTGGAGCAGGTTAGCCATACAGTATGAAGTGAATTGGCTTTGTGATACCAGAAAACCTGATTTAGGCCCAAAGAAGGTGGCTAACGCTAATCTCACTTTGTGATACAGGCCCAAAATCTAATATACATTTATATTGGCCCATTTTATCAAAGTAATCAGCATTTGTATTGGTTCTGAAAACCCTATGTTTGTGCACCTGAAATTGCTTTAATATAAATTGACCTCTAATGCAAACAACACTGTGTTTAGTTTACTTTTGGTTCAGCACTGGGTCAGTGCTCCCTCCTTTCTCTCTTTTCTCTCAGTCACACTCATCTGTCATCCCTCCCTGTTCAGATTGTGTCCAGTTTCAAAGCCACCACAGGGTCCCGGGCTGTGTGCCAGCTGATCAAGGAGTATGTGGGCCACAGGGACGGAATCTGGGACCTCAGCGTCACCCAGACTCAGCCAGTGGTCCTGGGCACAGCCTCTGCAGGTACACTTCACTGAGTGTGTACATCCACAGTATATACAGTATCACTGTGGCATTGTTTTAATACATAGCCAGCATAATATGTAGCGTTTTAAATAAAGCTGCTGAATGTGCTGTTTACATTATCATAGGAATAAAGGTGCTGAATGTGCTGTTTACATTATCATATCATATATGAGGTGATGTGCTGGTGCAATTAACCAAACATGAGAGCATAGCTGACATTATTGATGGAATCTTTTGAACACAAGAAGTGTTGTTAGTGCTAATATTTGTAAACTCTAAATATACAGTATATTACAGTATTAGTTCATTTTCTGATTACTATCCAAAAATGTGAATGGCTTCATGATGTCCACCCTGCCCCTCCCTCACAGACCGCTCAGCTCTGCTGTGGAGCATAGAGACTGGCCAGTGTCTGCTGAGGTATGCTGGCCATGCAGGATCAGGTAATTATACTTAGGAAATGTTACAGTCATACAGTCATTTCAAAGTGCATGGTGAAATCAGTTATACAGCATTCATACTACAGTCTATTAAGGTTAAAATTACTTTGTGCAAAATGTTAAGTGTGTTAGTAGGAATTGGTAAAATTTAAATGAGGCTGTTCGCTTTGCACTATCAGCTTTTGTACATTTAAAAGAGAATAGTGGCTAATGGATTTATGTACTGTGTTGTGTGCTTGTGCCAATTGGTGATCAAATTGACTATAGATAACTGAAGACTTGATTGTCTTCACTCGCTGATCACTGGGTCATGTTTACCACATGCCGACATTTCCTCACATGGCTTGATCATAACAGGAATGCTTCATTTAACATATGTACATGTTGCCCACAGTCAACTCCATCAAGTTCCACCCCACAGAGCAGATGGCCCTCACAGGTATGTATTATAATGAATGTGGGTTTATTTTAATGGCGCCGATTGTTTTTAATATATACTGCTAGTCAAACGTTTGGACACACTTTCCCTTTCAGTTTAACAGGATAGTGTGTCCAAAATTTGACTGGTAGTGTGTGTGTCCACCTGTTGGTTCTCGTCATGACTATCGTTTTGATACCTCTGTTGTCTCGAGCAGTGAGTTGTTTTAATAAAGTTTTTTAAAAATAACTTGCAGGCATTTTTTGCCGTTATTAGTCAGTGGGTTTTGGAGAGGCAGACAGCACACAGGAGAGACAGAGATAGTGATGGGGGAGACTTGCGGCTTGTGTCAGCAGCCAGACTTTATGCACAATACGCACATGTACAGTTCATGACGTGATGCTGAAATCAACTGGCTGTCAGAGCGCCACCTCCAGCAGCCACTGTTATGTAGATTTGAATGTGCTGTGTGTTTACTGACATGTTTTAATATGTCACAGCCTCTGGGGACCAGACAGCTCACATCTGGCGTTACTTGGTGCAGCTTCCTGCCCCACAGCCACTGTCAGATGTCAATGTGAGTCACTTTGTACTGTTCTCTTTCCAGGGTTTCTACTGGAATATCATAGGATTTTTAAAGGCATATTTTTGTCAAAGAATTAAATAAAATCTAGTACAGTAATAGCAATAATATTTACTAATAGGTCACTTTTACTTTCCATAAGAAATGAAAAATACTAGATCCAAGCTCTCTTGTCTTCTGTTTCATATCACTGTGGGCATCTGTGTGCATTGACTGGACTATTGTGTATCCTTCTGCAGGTGCCATGTGATGATGACCAGGACGTGTCAGATAGAGAGGAAGGCGAGGTGGATGGCGAGGGCCCTTGTGAGGTCCCCACCATTCGGGTCGCTACAGCAACCCTGAAGAGCCACCAGGGTGTAGTGATTGCAGGCGATTGGTTGGTCGGAGGCCGGCAAGTGGTGACAGCTTCCTGGGATCGTGCTGCCAACCTGTATGAGGTGGAGACATCCGAACTGGTTCACACGCTCACTGGTAGGCAACCTCGGCAGACACATTATTATCATAGTATGCATTATGGTCTCTTTATCTTCTGGTATATATACATTTAGGTTTTATTTTTAGGCTTTTCATATTTTACTTCATAAAGTATTCAGACCTCTTCACTTTATTGCCTCGTAGATTTCATTTTACTTTCAAACTGATGCTGATATAATAGGAGCTGTTTAAATGTAAAACATTATGGGCACTTGATGGCAAGATCCATTTCTCTGAAAATCCTTTGCAGTATATATTGTTCATATTTTGCACTGGTTGAATTATTCTGTCATTGTGTTCATCTGCAGTCATTTTCCACAGCAAGTGTATAGCTTGTAATTTGAGTATACAATTTTTATGCAAATGTTTGTCAGCCCCTGGGCAAATTCCATATTTTATGATTCTGTCAAGTGAAAAGTAGCCCGGGTGGGAAAACACATGCTAACAAATGGTTGTCTTTCTTAAAGTGTAAATGCACCATTACTGTTTATTTTTAACTTACTGTGGCATGTAAAAAGTTTGACCACTCTACTCAGTACTCAGTATTATCCTCCTCTTTGGCAGCTATCAATGATGCAAACACATTTTATAGCCGACCAAGTCTTTTTTTCACCCCACGCGATACAAGCTCTGAGATATTTTAGGTTGCCTTGAACAGACAGACTGCTTGATATCTAGCCACACATTTTCATGCTAAAGTCAGGGGACTGTGAGGGCAATTCAGCCCCAACACAGAATATTTTCACCCCCATGCTTAGCGGTTGGTGAGGTGTTGGCTTAATCAAATTCTCTCCTCTTTTTCCTCAAACAAATCTTTAGAGACTCTGACTAAAGAGCTCAAGTTCAACTTCATCTGTCCACAGCACTTGTTTCCAAAGTCATTCCTATTTATCCAGATGCTGCTTTTAATACGTCAGATTTTGACCTTTGTGATGAGGTCACAGGTAAGATTTTGTTCTGATAACTCTTCAATGTAGACCCTGTTTGTGTATCAACACTGGTGCACCACCGATCCTGTGCCAGCCAAATCTTCCTAAACCATAGTTCCCTTTAACGTTCCAGTTTTTTTTAATGACAATTCAGCCTGTGGAAATTTCAGTCTGGAAACACTTTCCTTTTATAGTATTCTCTGTAGGCATCCGTTAGATTTTTTTATTTTTATTTTTATTTTTGTCATAGCTGCAGTCGGTTGCTTAGAAGCCCCCATGGTTGTTGAGTGTTACCACAAGGTTAGTGAATTTATTAATTTGTAATGACATTTGTTCACATGGCTTACAAGCAGGTGTCCATATTATGGCATATGCCACAGTTACTGTTTACTTTTATATTTTGCAGGCTTATTAACTATTAAAGTTGAAAAAAACTTAGAAAAATCAACTGGACTAGATTTTTAGGTCAAAGACATTTCACTGCTTTTCCAAGAGGTTTCATCAGTTCTGACTGATTGGTGTTGAGCCAGAGATATTTATCCCCATCGGTGGTGTTTCAGCACTTTGATGGCCAACAATGCCACCCCTATTTAGCGAGGGGCTATTTTTACAAAAATAGCTTCCTTAACTCCTCTCTCAAACCAGCAATGTTCTCTGGTGAGAATCTGGACTTCACTGTCCTCAAAAGAATGTCCTTTGTCCTTCAGGTGGAGGTGGACTGCTGACTCTGGTCCACTGGAGTTGGCCCTCCTGTGTTGGGCCATGCGTTTGTGAAGCGGCTGCTTAGTTTCACCAATGTACAAGTCGTTACACTCCTGACTACACTTAATTGCATACACCACATCACTCTTGTTTACAGTGCCTTGCGAAAGTATTCGGCCCCCTTGAACTTTGCGACCTTTTGCCACATTTCAGGCTTCAAACATAAAGATATAAAACTGTAATTTTTTGTGAAGAATCAACAACAAGTGGGACACAATCATGAAGTAGAACGAAATTTATTGGATATTTCAAACTTTTTTAACAAATAAAAAAACTGAAAAATTGGGCGTGCAAAATTATTCAGCCCC